AGTGGTTGTTCACACTAACAACGGGCATAAATGATCCTATCACCAGTGAGAGTGGTTGTTCTCTCTGCTTACATTTCACTGAGGGAAATGGTTGATCCAACCATCAGCAGTTATTAATGGTTCCACTGCCTGTAATAAGGCAGGTCTCTCCGCCAACGGAAATGACTGGCTTTCACATCTCTAAGTGTGGCGATTCACGCCATCAGCGATGTAGATTGGATCCAAATGTGGGTGATCCCGTTAATAGCGAGAATGATCAGTTTTCTCACTAGCAAGAGCAGATGGTCATGCCAACAGGGGTCATGATTGAGTATCTCTTCAGTGAAGGCAACTGGTATCACCAACGGCGAAAGCGGCTGTTGTTTGTGGCTGCTCCTGCCACTAGAGGGGCAGCAGATCTCATGAATTGCTCAGTCCTACCCTTTCTCGTGTCAAGCATCTGGGAGCTGTATAGGTCGTGAGCACGCGCCCTCCTCGAGATATCCTCCACAAAAGTCAACCCTGCACACTGTACGCCTGGTATACTGCCATCATCCATCCCCCTCGACCCCCACAGGTGTTAAAGGCACGTCAGATATGCCTCGTACGACGACCAAAGACAACTCCCCCGGTACCCCTGGTGCTCTCCCTTGTAATGACCGAGTGGCATGTACGCGTCATAACTCATCGACGGGTCAAAAACCCACATCCCTTTGTAACTGCTAGGAGACATTCCCTCTGGCGAACACGACAACTCATCATCTCTATCTGAGCCCCGTGCATGTCGACAACTAGACTCCAAAGCCAAAACCCTGGTCCCTCTCGTAACAGCCAAGTGGTCGTTTCCCTGGGCCGACAGCTGGCTGCTGAGCCTGTCCACACGTGGCACCTGAGCACACACATACGCGTCGCTAGAACCAAGGAAGGCACTACCTAACTAGACCAGGTCCGGCGGTACTACCACTAGCGCTGATTCCAGATCCAGTAGTCCCACTGGTGGAGCTGGTACCCAGACCCTGCTGCAGAAATACGGCCTCGACATGCACCCTCTGGTCTGGATCCAGGTCTGGCCAACGTGAGTACTGCAACCACTTAGGCCTACTCATTATTTTCCTGCATTATTATTTTATTTTACTTTATTTATTGTCGAGACTAATCGTGCCCTTATCAAAAAAAAATAATAATAACAAAAATATAAATAAAATTCAGCGGTAGGGTCTCAGGAGGATTAGCCACCGAAAGGGCAAGGCTAATAGGCTTGATAACCCATAGCGCAGCCTCTTGCCGTTAAGCAGAGCGGGCTGGACCGTGGTTCACTCAGGTTGGGCTAGTGGGGTACGTCTTACCCCGTAGGTTAGAACGTCAAACCTGTGTGGCAAATTTGACACACCGAGGAGGACCAGAATGTCGGGCCCTCTGACAACGCGCGCACGGTTAGAGTGGTGATAAGTTGTTCTTCGAAAATAAATCCTGCGTGACACGACGGTGAGGTTCAGCGCTCCCCAGTAGAGCGCAGGACCACCACGCACGACATCGCAACGTGCAGTATCTAAGTCCCTTTTTTTTTTTTTATTCGACATGTTTTTCCTTAGACGACAGACTGACACGTTTCTTTCGAAGCCAAATGTCTATGAGATCTTGATATTGTTCCTCCTCATCGTGTTCTCGTCCATACGTTGCTGGCCTGTGACGTGGAGAAACGTGATCGGAACCCGCAAAATCGTCGTGGGACGAAGGCGTGTCAGTAGGGGATACGGTCGTGCCCCCAGACGAAAGGGAATAGCTGGCATTTAAGGAATCACCGAGATTCACCTCAGTCCTAATCATAGGATTATGCCATCCGACTTGTGCGTCAAATGTGTCCAAACGGTCATGCTCTGTCGCCAACATTTGTTTCTGGGTATGCACTATTCTCTCACGTGCTGTACATGCTGCCTCGCGCTCACATAAATGCTCTTTCTCTTTTCTCAAGAAAATTGTCACCGATCGGATGCTGCGAATAGATGCGTCCATAGTGGCTCGGTGTGTCTTTATCTCAGTCGCAATGTTGCTCATATCACTTTCGATAGCATTGATGTCTTCAAATATAACGTTTGCATCTCGTAGTTGTGTATCGTCGATCTTATCTGTGCGTGAAACTTTCACATAGATAAGATCGTAGACGGATGTTGCTCCTTTTCCTTTACTCGTTTTCATTTCTCTTGGTCGGATGAGAGAATGATATCTGCGCAGACGAAAAAAAAAAGGGAATAAACGTACACCGAAGTGCGACCATGATAATAATATCATTTAATTGTTGTATAGTATGCTAGGCTATCAGAGTGGTCCGGGTCCACTTGCCCGGCTCGGCCAAAATGGAAAAAAAAAAAAAAAGTAATAAAAATATTTTTTAGTTAAAATTTTTATTTTAAATTTCATATAGAATTTCGATGTGACCCTGAGGCAATAGTTGTTCAGTTTGTTTTTCTGCATAACATAGATTTCTTTCAGAGTTTTTTTTTTTTTCTTTTTTTTTTGCTGGGTTCTTTTCTGGTCCTTGCACGGCCGGGCCACCCGAGAAAATAGGGTAACCCGGGCGGCACGCCTGATAGCCTACATGTTATGTTATATGATGATCATATTCTACATTATTATATTATATATTAATAAAATGCATTATAGTTATAATATATAATCTATAGTATTCATAGCTATCATACTGGACCACTTGCCCAGTCGAGAACTAAAAAATTGCAAATTTCTTGTTTTTTACCTAGGTTACCAGCCGGGCCGCCCGGGTCACCCTATTTTTCCAGGTGGCCCGGCCGCGCAAGGACCATAGAAGGTCCCAGTAAAAAAAAAAAAAGATGGGAAAAAAAAAAAAAGTCCGAAAACAATCTATGTTATGCAGAAAAATAAACTGAATAATTTTTGGCTCAGGGTCACATCTAAATTCTTTACCAAAATTAAATAAAATTTTAAAGTAAAAAATAATTATATATTTTTATATTTTTTCTTTTCTTTTTCTTTTTGGCCCGGGCGGGAAAGTGAACCCGGGCCACTCTGGCAGCCTAGTTTTTTACCATATAATGTTTTTGGATGTCACCCTGCGGCAAAAATAGTTCACTTTATTTCTCTGTAGAACATATTGTTTTCAGATAGTGCATCTCCTATTTTTTGTCCTTTTTTTTTTTGCTACAACCTACTTTGGCGCTTGCATCGCCAGGCCGTCCGAGCAAACAAGGTCACCCGACTGACCCAGCTGGCAACCTGTTTTTTTTAAGCAAAAATAAAAAACATGATACTAACTATTACTAAGGAAAGTAATAAAAAAAAACAGTTCACTTTATTTTCAAGCTAGGTAGAAAATCCGGATATCCGGCAGACAAATTTTATCCGGAATTTTCAATCCAGATGAAATTTCCGGATTAATTCCGGATATAGAAAATCCGGCCCTGAGCAAAATATTTTTTTTTTACCAAAAAACAAAATTCAAAAAAATCTGAAAAAAACAATATGTTGTTCATATCAATGATATGAACAACTTTTGGCTAGAGGCCATCTTTGATTACTCAACAGATATGAAGATAAAAAATAAAACAGAGTAAGAAAATAATATTTAGGTAAAAAATTATAGAATGAATTAAGCATCCCCCCTTTAAACCCCTTTATTCCCTATCTTATCCCCTTTGAACCCTTCCAGTTCCTATCAAGCTTTTCATGAAATAGGAACGTAGTTCTATTATATTTTGTATGCGCAATATCACTTTTTTTTTTTTTTAGGCCTTTTTTTTAATCATCCGGCCAAATAATCCGACGAGATTATCCGGGCAGATCACCCATGCTACCTAGTTTTCAAGGGCGTTCGTAAATAAAAAATAAAAAAATAAAAAAATCGAAAAAATATGGAAAAACCTAGGTTACCAACCATCCGGGGGCCGAACGTCTCCCCCCGGACGTCCGAGGTCCGAGTCGTTCGGATTTTCGGACGACGGCTTTTTGGGGGGGAAAAAAAGTCAAAAAAAAAAAAAAAAAAAAAAAAGGTTGTCTTGCGCTGGTTTAGGGGACCCCCCACACCAAATTTCACATGAAACAGAGTGTTTTTGTG